GTTGAAATTTATTACAATTGAATAAGTAACTTTTACAAAGTTATATATATATATATATATATATATATATATATATATATATATATATATGATCTGAGAATGGAAATGAGAAAGTAAGTCATTGAAACTCCTATAAATTCTCATAAGATAGTCTATATGTTATGAAAGTAAAGATGTATCTACACAAAGAATTATAAACAATGCTTAGATCTTTACTGAAATCTAACAACGAGTACTATATCTTTAAACTATAAAATCAAAATTCATTTTTTTTTAGACTTTGATCAGCTTGGTGCATCAGTTGATGATTATTTAATATCATCTTACGACATCTATTTTATTCTTAATTTACAAGTCAAGAATTTTTTTTACTAAGACTACTAGAATTCATCGGCGAGACTCTAATTTATGGACAAGCCAATCAGAAGCGTTTTAAAGATTTCAAGGTCATGGCATCAACTTCAGTGCTTAATGCTAACGTACCATCGGTTCACAGGGAATTCGGTACAAAACGTGATAATTGAGCGTCTATGAAAAAAAGACTCAATCAGGTATAAGATAACAGATCTCGGATTTTGGTGCAAAAGCCTTTCATCCATTTGGCTAAATAGATTTCTGGCATTATAACTGATGTCAGTTAGTGATGAAAACCCCATATATAATTCCTAACTAAGGCAAATTATGACAATTATCACGAACTGGATAATAAAAGCACCAGTAACACTGGCTGCAGCTAGGTACTACAATATATACGGATGAGTGGAGAGCGTACAGACTCCTACATATACTTGGTTATGTGCATCATGTCGTTATCCACATGTGGCATTTTGTGTACTCAACAACCGGAGAGCACATAAACAATATTGAAGCTATGTGGTCAAAGCTGAAAGATGTTTTGAGACTTTATCATGACTCCAGAAACCGACTATTTTGTAGCCGTATGGATGATTTCCTTTACTACATTCTTTACGATTTTAGAACCTCTGAACCTTTTTCTAATCTTGTCAAGTTTCTGAACCACTTATAAGAATTGTATCCACTTTATTTCCTTGGTTTTGTATAATATATTTTTACTCCATAATTACTGTTTTCTGATTGGCTAATGGTTCTCAAGATCACTTAAGATTCGTTCAAAGGTCATCCATAAATCATAGTCTCACCGAATTCATCTTGAAATCTATCAGTGATGAATGTAGAATGTATATTTATTTTTGTTGTAATAATCAAGCAGTTCATGATTTTGAACAAAAAGAATAGACACTTTCATAGGGAACTTCGTACATATTTTATTATGGTAATCTACAAATCATTAATCTAAAATAAACCGTTAAAATGACTAGAGTTTGATAACGGTTACGTTTGTGCTAATATTAAATTCATGCAGTAAAATAATATGTATATTTGCCTTTATGTAATGGGATAACTAATCTCGAAAAAACATCACTGATCAACTAATAACCGGTTATAACAACCTTATAGTTTACAGCTTTCATAAAATGTTGTTAGTAGTCAAGAAATTAAGTTGTTTCATAAATTGATAAATTTTTCTTAAATGAAGATTTCAGAATAATTTTTAATGTAGGATAAAGTTTACAACAAAAACTGAATACCAGAAAGTACTAAACAGCTGCTTCACTCTGGCTTAGGAATCAGTATTACGATTCCTCAAATTCACAGCTGAGATTGAATCCAGGGTCTACTTTCTTGTGGTGGGCGCTTCACCTTTAGACTAATAAGCCGGCATCCAGTGGGGTGCCGCCATTTTTTGTAACTATTTACCATTGTTCGAAATCTATTTTGATGTGTGCTACTTATGTAGACATAAGTAGTATATGATGTTAGTCGTGAACAGAATGTCTGACAACAAAGAGCCAAGAGGATAGAACAGTAAAGAATTGAAACAGAAAGCAATTTGTATGAAAATGTAAGAACAATGAAGTCTGAGTCATTTTGAGACAATAGATGAACATTTTGTAAATCGAGCATTTACTATATGGTTGTTAGATTTTATTAACAAGTTCTGTAATTTTGTGTCAAATACATTCGATTGTTCCCCACTGGTGTTCTATTCACTACAATATCATATACCAGATATGGTCGAACTTCACAAGTCATGGTTTCTTACAAGAACTCATAGAACTAAATCTTAAAATTTATCCACTAGTGAGCACATTACTATTAATAATACTCGTTTAAATGGTTTGCAGAGATTGCAGAAATTTCACAGTTCATATCACAGACAACTGTCCAATCCTTTCTGTTTTTTCAATGGTTGCTTAACTAAGATTAATTTGTAATGTGAATTATGTAGATCCAACAACCTTTACAAACTCCCTTTAATTGATAAAAACTGAATAGTAAAATTCCAAAATTTATTTCATTGACTGAAAATGTTTATTTTTTCTATTGCCTACATAGTCATCCCCAAATTAAATTTTCTTTTTCATTTTATGTAAAAAGCACTGAAGCATAATGGTCGTTTTAATTAGGCTAATGAAATGTATTGGTTGATTTAAAACAGAAAAGATTTATTCATTTGTGAAATCTCTTTCTACTATAAAACCAAGTATAACCAAACTTCCTATCGTTTAAATTTACTTGGTATTATTTACTTGAATCTTCCTATTAATGTTTAGGACTGCAATAGATCAGTCTGTTATTAGCATATGTGTATCCTATGCTGATTGCCTCGATATTGCCTTCATTAACAAGCAATATAAGCAAAGATGGATGATGGCTAACAGAGGAATCCAGGACGTCCGATCCGTTCTATTTGGGACTTGTCAGTTGAATGCTCTCAGTCCTAAACATCAGTGGGAAGATTCAAACAAACAACACAATGTGAAGTTAAACTTTACCTCATTGCGCAAGCTTGTGGTTGTCACGACTCAATAGCTAAGTGGATAACGAGATGGTGTTTGGAGCGAACGTTACTGTGTACGAGTCTCAGAGTGGATATTCACTCTTTACCTTTCAATCAAAACAAATCTCAGATAGACATATTTGTAGAAACCATGCCAAGCGTTAACAATATTATGGTTCTGATACCAGAATACTACCAAGGGTTCAAATTTTAAACATCCTAAATGGCATTCAGATACATACTGTCAGATCGAAATATTATTTTATGGAAACCTATAAATACTGGTAACATCAAAGACATTAGCGCATTTTCTATTAAAAATACATTATGATTAAAATGATGAATAAACCATTATGATTATGGAATTCATGAGTCAATTGAATCTAGACCACCATGGATAGCCTGGAAGCACTGAACGACCGTTTCATTCTAGTATGAGACTCTTCACCCGTGCTCATCCACGATCTCGCAAGGCGGTATGGTGATCTAGCTTTAATTGACTCATGAATTCAACTATTAAATTACTATAATATCCACAAAGTTCCGATTTGACAATAACAAAATTGTTTTTTACCTATTTCAGTAAGTATAATGTCTCTGTTGAATGACAGAATTCATTCCATAAAAAAAGTGATACTGTGATACAGTTTTCTCCGTTTGATAATCAATTTAAACTACTATCATTGTAGGTGCTTATGATTGGTATTGTTGTTCATATATTTTTGTATTGTTATTATTATTCTTATTATGGTTTCAACATTATCATCCATCTTCTAAAAGAATGAATAATTTAGTTGCCATTTACTCTACGTTATTATTTTTTATTGAATTCATATGACTTTATATTACTATTACCGTCTTTCACTAAACATTTGATCCAATTTGTAATTACATCATCATATCTCTTACACTTTGTCATCTGTATTTATTATGATTGGTAATCTTACAATTTTATTTACAGTATACATTTATTGAAGTCAACATTACGTAATAGTTACCTCAACATTGTAGATTTATTTTATTTTGCAAACAATCTTAAAATCGTATGTTACAGCTTGAGTTGATGTATTTGCCACAAACGTGGTCATTTTTTAGATTGGTAATTTTGATATATAACAAGAGAATCTGAAGAGAATTTAAGGAAACTATATTCTTCATTCATGAATTAGTGTTTACCAAAAGCTTTAATTACTGATGCATATTTCCAACAACTATACGAACATATAGATATACTAGAGATGATCCTTCTAAGAAGATCTTAGATTATCTAACTTTTTATAACTACAAATTAGTTCTTTCTTTGAAAGGAAATGTTTATGATGTTTTTCAAATTTATATTTCCATAATAATTTTTGTTGAAATCTGAACGGTTACTACCACGTTTAGTTTGCTAACATTGTGCATGTTATTATGCAATCAAAGCTGTTCCTTTTTAACTTTTGACTTTTTTAGAGAATATAAACTTATCCTGTCTCATCTCTTCGATTAGCGTGTGGGTTGTGAAAGTTGAAGTGTTGTTAATTAACAGACATCCGGTTTATACAAGTTCCCTTTGATTGTGTTGTATTAGAAGAGTCCTTAATCGTTCGTGAATAGGAATTACTATAGGCCAAAAAGAGACTCCGATAGATATGATTGCTTTATGAAGATTTAACAAGTAATTTATATACAAACATTTTGATCAAATAAAATTTTTTTAACAAGTGAATAAATAGTTTTTAATCTAATTACTTAAGGAATAAATGAACTGAATTCTCATTAGAAACTAACATCCACTAAAGAACTATTTGCGAATAAATAAAACTGGACAGCTACTTCATTTTCGTCTAATACTCAATATTAGTGTAGACTCATAATTCTACACACAGACTAGAACCCAAGAATATCAAGTTTAAGTAATCAGCGTGATAGATTTAGGTCACTAAATTGTGATCTACTTATCCATATTTTCAAATTCAGGTGAATTTCTTATCATTCAATAATTTTTTATCCTACTATGAATTTAATTAGTAGTAACACTTGCATTACTAATAGTTTTATCTATAGTCACTGAATTATGAAACCGGAAAACTAATATTTATTTTAATAAAAATGATTTTTATAAATAAGCATATTAATAAAACATGTATTATCTTACTTTTAACTGCATCTAAAGGTTTTGCCACAAGTTGTTTAGCAATATAACCAGCCATATCTTATATTATGTATATATGTATGTATTATTAAGATGATATATTACTTTGAATTGTCTTAGTAACGATATTATTTTATAGTATGATAATTATATATATATATATCTGTATTGAAACAATTTATAAAGTTTCCTTAGTATTAAAAAAGAAAAAAGTGAATAGTTTGCTAAAATAACAAAACGAATAAAATTCTTCTCTTTACTTGTAAATATAGATAAATAGATAGATAGATAATGTTGTTAAGATAGGAGTAAACAATAGCTCATTAGTCTTTCAAATAAAATATAAATACTAATATAAGACAGTAAAATAAATTCTTCATTATTTTCATTGGTCAAAACATAATTTTCTAAACTGATTGGCCTACTACTTATTCTATTCTATTAACATTTTATTACACTTATTAGGGTAATCACTATAATAATAATAATAGTACTAGTACTAATACTACTACAAATAATAATAATAATGGTAATAATGATTACTATAAGTATTATAACTGTTATTAAATAAACTCATATTTATACGGAAAAGAATGATAATATCCATGAGTTCGAATAGATTTCGGTAAAATTCGATCAATCAGAAGAAAAATAATAAATAAACAAACAAAAACAAAGATAATATGAAATGAACTAGTGAAACGGTACGTTACTATTTGATTATTTCATCGACTATCAAATAAAGTAAATATAATAAACATTTGTTTTGAACAAAATAACACTTCAATGAAAATTTTTTTTCATCGAATCACTTTTAATATTACTTAAGTAAGAAATTATGGAATGATCCATACATTGATCATAATCTGGTTAGTGTATACTTATGAAGTATTCAAGCATTCTGATTAATAGACAATGTTGTTTTTCCATTGGTTAACATCATGATTCAATTAAAGCTAAACCACCATGGAAAACCTGGAAGCACTAGATGGCCATTTAGTCCTAGTATGGGACTTCTCAGCAGTGCGCATCCACGATCCCGCCCACCGAGAGATTAGAACCCAGGACCTATCAGTTTCACGCGCGAGCGCTTAACCATTAGACCACTGAGCTGGTCGGCATCCAACGGTGTTAATGCTCACTGATGAGAAGTCCCATACCAGGAAGAAACGGCCGTCCAGTGCTTTCAGGTTTTCCATAATGGTCTAGCTTCGATTGACTCATGATTCCAACTACTGAAATTACTGAAATCTCCTCAAAACCCCTTCTGATAATGTTGTTTTTGTTGTCAATATATATATATATATATATATACTCTATATTGTTTTTTATCTCTTTCAGAAATAATTCAATAAACAACCAGTTATTCTGATCTATTATTACTAATACTGCTTGAAATGAAATGGTATTTAATCAAACTATTCTACATTTGGGTAATTAACTTGAAGAGATGATGTTTCTTCATATATATTAAGTGTTCTAGGCCAATATTTACTAATGGTTTGAAAAACAAATAAACTAGCTTTAACTTCAGTGGTTAATTTATTTTTTATTCTTGAGATATAGTTCAAAATTTTCGTTATAAATGAAATTACCACTGTTGCTACAAGCAGTTTTCAGTTATCCTTTTGTTGATTTTATTGATTGAATTTTGTTTTTCTTTAGTCAACAAATGTGCATTCTGCACGACTGCCTTTATACAGACGTTAGGTCGCCAATTTTTATGGAATAGATAGAATGTGGTCAGCAGTGGAATTCCAGAAACTCATTTCTTCATATTTGAAACTTGTAAGATAAATATACATGCATCGTTGGGTTGGTGTTTTCAGCAGAACACTTTAGTGGCAGTCTGAACTCAGTAGCTCATGAAATAATCCATTAATAGTTTGAAATGAAAGATACTGGGTTCGAATTCTGTTGTGAATATCAACACTAGGATACAGATACCTCGACCTGACGAGTCCTAGGTGAGGCAAAACGTGCACTTTTGAATCAACTCCCAATTATGTTACATCTAATGATATTCTTGTTATAAGACAGTAGAGTAGTTTTTACTTCCTATGAAATTTTCAAGTTTTTAACCATAATTCCATAATTTCTAATTTCCTTGGTTAAAAATCATAAGAAGGTAAACGTTTTCTTATACGATTAATTTCTCCCATTTCATGAAGTGTAACTTTTGATACATTTTCATCTTTAATGAATGACTAATAATAGTAGCTTTCTTTACAGTATAGATAAATTAGCTCGAAATATACAACATTGCTGGGAGTTCTACTTTAACATACATATTCATAAATTATATCAAAACGTATTCTAATACGATTCATTTGCCAATCATTTTCAATTGCAAACGTTTTTGACCATTCCGACACCATATAGTGTGTATAATATATATGAATTTTAGTATATAAATAAGCCATAAGGAAAATATACCAACAATTATGATGTTCCCTCTTTTAACACAAGGATAAGTTATGAACTTCTTGTAAAAGTGTTTCATCATTTAAAATTCTTTAATATGCTCGTAAACCTCAACAAAATGACTCTTCAAAATCCACTACCAAGTATATAAACACAATAAAATCAACATACTGTGATGATAATTATATTACACAAGCACTCTAAACTTAATTCAAATAGATATTGAATAATAAAAACATAATTATGCCATAAATGAATCAAACGATATTTAAAAATAATAATACAATAACCTGGGTTCAGTCAGTCATTCAGCTACAACGTAAGACCAGGCACATATATGCATCGGTTCAAGTTGACATATTTCATTAGTACAACAAGATGAATACCAAATTCATAGAAGTAGTTACTGTTATGGTAGTAATATATAAAAGATTGTGTATAAGGATATAATACAGGAAGAAAGGATTAGCTCGTAGAAACAAAGGTATAAATTGATTGTTATCTTGCGGTTTAAGCGAAGACAAAGAGTATATACACCTACGCCATTATGATTAATTCTGAGCCATGTCACCCACAGTCTCCAACCATTGGTTACGATAGTCACGCAGACCCCAACCAAGTAGTCTACATCTACCAACATGGTTAAGACTAAAAGTCAGTGAGTTTGTGAATTGATGTCACGTTTTGGTTTGGCCCTCCCCCTAATCTGAGTTAGAGAAATTTAATCTCAATCTACTGTTTTATTACAGTTTTCCTAATGTATTTCAATAAATAATTGATTCAATTAAAGTGTCTTCTATAAAACTATTTTTATTATGACAAATGTGTCCAATATTTTTCTTTCTTTTAGAACATTTAAATTCTTTCTAACTTATTATTAATATGGATAATTGAGTAATAAAATGTTGATTAAATGTTTATTTTAATGGATTTAACTTAAAATACATTGTTTTTAAAAAACATTTTATTTCACACAGTCCAGCTGACGAGTACCAAATAGGACGAAACGCGCATCCTGGATTCCACTGCTAACCGCCATCCATCTTTGGTTAAAAAAGCTTGTGACTTTAGGCTACATCGAGGCAATCCGCACAGAATTCACATATGCCACCACGAGACTGATCAATTGCAGCCTCAAACAACAATCGGAAGATACAAATAAAACAACACCAAGTGAATTTCACACAATCATTTCAATTTATTGTAATGATACTACATAATGTAATAACAAATAGTGAGGAGTTTTGCAAAGAGTTCATTAAAAGTTAATAACCTAAATAGAATTAATGAAAATGATTAAACGTTTTTAAAAGTTATTGACATATCAATATGGAGATTTATGAAAATTATGGTACTGTCATTGTTGAATTCATGAATCGATTTGAGCTAGATTATCATTGAAAATTTGAAAGCATTGGATGACCGTTTTCTTTCATTATTGGGATTCCTTATCAGTGTTCGTGAATTCAACTGTGACAGTACTATAATCTTCACAAATCTTCATACCGATCATAATCATGTGCTTAATAATGACTAACTTCAAGATAGATTTCCTGGAGTTCTAGTAAGAAGCCGTGACCAGCGGAGTACAATCCGTGTTAAGTGTGAAATAGTTACCAACCTCAGATAATGGATGAAGTGTTACGCAAGATCATGAAACGATTAAAGTTAGACACTAACACCAATGGATGTCGGTTCAGTATTTTAAAGGTTAAGCGTCCGCGTGCAAGATCAAATGTTTTGGATTCGAGTCCTGTGTGCGAAATAGTGAGTGCGCATTGCTGAAGAGTTTCATACAAGAAGGAAATGGCCATTCAGTGCTTCCAGGTTTTTAATGATGGTCTATTTTAGATCGATTCGAGAATTATTGAAATGTTATCAGTATATTATTATCCGTACATAAATATATTTATCAAACCAATGTCGCACGCGGATCATTGGAAAATTCAATTTCCTTCTACTTCATACATTTTCTATAAATTATCGCTTTGCATTGTGATATTAAATTCAATCATTCTTTATGCATCATTGCGTTTTTAATAAAAACCTTAACTGATTTGTGTAAAAATCCGGCATTTTTTCAAATATTTCTATAATTCATTACAAAATTGTAAAATAATTTGTCAATATTTCACTAGAACATAACCTTAAAAGTATCCAGTATGATTCACTTGGTATTGTTTACTTGAAACTTCCCATTGATGATTAGGACTGCAATCGACCATTCTCCTATTGGCACATGTGCATCCTGTGCGTATTGCCTCGATGTTGCCATAAGTCACAATCCCTATGAGCAAAGATGGATGGTGGTTAGCAGTGAAAACCAGGATGTGCGTTTCTTCCCAATATGGACTCGTCAGCTGGATGTACCTCCATCCCAGAGTTGATGCTCAGTAGCTAAGTGGATAACGAGATGGCGTTCGAAGCGAACGATGCTGGGTTCGAGCCCAAAGTGAACATCAACTCTGAGATGCAGGTACGTCCAGATGACGAGTACCAAATAGGATGAGACTCATGTCCTATATTCCACTGCTAGCCATCATCCATCTTTACTTATCCAGTATGGTGCCTAAAAGTGCATCATGAATGCACTAATCAGATGTTTAAAAGCTTCCTTATAAAAAATAATCTTGT